AGCCTGGCACCGCTCACCCCACCTGCCCCCAATCCTTAGGATGCTGTTCTTTAGGAAGTGCAGGAAGGCGTCGAGGAGGCCTCCAGCCGTCTCGTTCAAGGACCAGCTCTGAGAAGCCAGCGGGAGGAGACACGGGTGAGTGGTGGCACTAGAACGCCCTGCACGTGACCAGGGTGGGGACACTGCGTCCCTGTGGGGTCAGGTACGTGAGCCAGGTGCTGGGCTGGGGTCCGGGTCCACCGTCAGCTGGCGGGCTGAGGCATGCTGACCCACGGGGGTGTGAGCACAACTCTGTTCGACATCTGACATCCCCTCTGGGCCATCGGGTGTCCAACTGAGCTCAGACACCCACAGCCCCGGAGCCTGTCACGGCCCAGACAGCACATGTGACCCAGTGGGAGCCTGTCTGGTCCCAGGCACCGGGTCTGGGTCACTGGAGCCCATGTAAATTGCAAGGAGCCCAGGGAAACTTAACCAGAGGTCTCCAAGCCTCACTCAACGGCCATGGTTATCCCCTAAATGGCGTGAATGCTCAAAAAGGATTCCATAGGAGTACAGAGTGCATGAGCAGTCACCAACCCTGCAGACCCTGGGGAAGCCACACATACAGATTTCATATGGACAGGCCAGCTCAAGGGGCGTCCACAGGTCAAATCCAGCCTGCCCCCGGAAGGCAGTGGCATGTTTTACATTGGCCTCAAGATGAGAACTCAGAGGGAAGATGCCTCAGCAAAACGCTGATAACGCCCGAGAGGGGATGAGTCTGGGCGACAGGAGATGCGGCCAGATGCAGTGGCAGCCATGGCCTGGCGTGACTGGGCTTGGGAACATGATGGGGCATGTGGCCTCATCTCATGGCTGCGTCCCACCCTGACTCCATCCCCACAGAGCAGAGAGTCCCCCCAGGACCCCCAGCCACTGGAACCCAAGCCCCCCACGGGCAGCGCTGGGACCTGCTCGATGACCACGGCGTCTCTCAGCGAGCGTGTCTCCTGCAGGTGTGTCACGAATTGCTGCATATATGGCTGCAGGTCCGTGAAGGTGGAGATCTGTGCAAGTGGGATGGGATGGGAGGTGGCGCCGGCCGTCCCGGCCAAGAGCTGGACGTGCCCCACGGGGAGGGAGCACCAGCCCTGGGGACCGAAAGAGCTGCAGGAACACGAGGCAGAAGGAAAGGTCTAGAGACGCGGGGGAGAGGTCATGCCCCGTCACCTCCTGTTTCACAGGGTCTCCTAGGGCGCCTTCAAACCCAGAAGCCACCTGGAGCGATATCCACACACAGCAGAAGGACACAGCGTCCCCAAGGCAGGACGCTCTCAAGGCAGGCGGCACACTGACGCCGACACCGTGAGCTTGTGAGGCGTCCAAGATGTGCACGGTGACGTTTCAACATGTTCTACGGCCCTGTGAGCTATGGCAATGCAGTGGGTCAAACCACACCAGGCCGAAAGACACAAAAGTTGCGACTTCCTAACTGAGCAGGGAGCAGGACACCCAGGGGTGAACAGAAATCACAGCCCAAATCAGAAAACACTCTACATTAAACAGCGATGGAAAGGAGCATGCCAAAATGCGTGAGACACAGCTGCAGCGGCACCACAGAGGAAATTGGCAGCTTCAAATGCTTGTTTGGAAAAGGAAGTACCCTTTTTTTTTGAGTTGGGGTCGCACTGTTGCCCAGGCTGGAGTGTAGGGGCATGATCACAGCCCACCACAGCCTTGACCTCCTGGGTGCTGGCGATCCTCTTGCCTCAGCCTCCCAAGCAGCTAGGATAACAGGTGCACAACACCACACCCAGTTAATTTTTTACTTTTCTGTAGAGACGAGGTCTCGCTCTGTTGCCCAGGCTGGTCTTGAACTCTTGGGCTCAAGCAATCCTCCTGCCTTGTCCTCCCAAAGTGCTGGGATTACAGGTGAGAACCACTATGACCAGTCAGAAGTTCAAATAACTGTAACTAAAGCTTGCACTTCAATGAGTTGGAAAAGTAACAAATCAAACCTAAAGAAAGTAGAAGGAAGCTGGGTGCAGCGCATGCACCTGTGATCTGAGTACTTCAGGAGGCTGAGGAGGGAGGATCGCGCAAGTCGGGAACTGTGGAGATCATGCCACCACACTCCAGCCAGAACAACAGAGTGAGACTGCACCAGCATGGCTGCAACCCGGGGCACTGATGCATCCAAGTGTTGATGAGGATACACAGTGACCGCCCTCGGTGCAGCTGGGTGGATGTGACTGGCCCCCCTGGAAACACTGCCAACCTTGCTGGCTCCAAACACAAGCGTGCCACAGCCCAGCCACCCCACCCCGGGACTCACCCAGAAGACAACCCCAAGAACACAGCAACGCCCAGCACTCTTCAAACCCAGAAGCTACCCGAAACGATATTAATGCACAGCAGAAGGACACAGCCACATGGTGCACTTGCACGAAAGGGGTGTGTGGCAACATGCTGCAGTGTGGCTGACCCTCAGGCGCCGACCCGCCTCTTGCGGGACTTCACTCATGGAGGCAGGCAGAGTGAGTCCAAGGGTTGGAACGGGTCACTGTGGGGGCCAGTCTTGGCCAGAAGGGAACCCGGGGGACTCCCCTGGGCCTTGATGTCCTCCATGCCTTGATGGAGGTGACAGCCACTGGTGTCTGCAGGTGTGAACTCAAAGGAGCTGCGCTCCAGAACAGAAGCCACGCCTCGTGGGTCTCACCTCAGTAAAAAAGTAGGCAACGTGCCAGGGGGTTTTCCCGTATGCCTCTCTGACATGAGGTCCCAAGAAATCCTCACCTTGGCATGTACCCCTCATACTGCTTGGGGGGACTGACACCCCAGCGCACTCATGACATCAGGTGGGAATCCGGCCCAAGGGCTCCTCTCCAGACTGCCAAGTCCTGAGACCCCTGGTTGCTCTGGGAGAGGTGTCCAGGGATCGAAGCCCTGCCCCCCACCAGCCTTCCTCTTGGAGTTGCCACAGGCCAAGCGTGGGCTTCTGGGGACTGCTGGGGGACCTGAGGCTCTGGGGCCACCAGGATCCCTCCTCTCCCTGCAAATCCTGTCTGCAGTACCCGAGATCCAGCCCTGCGAGGGGACAGTGGCATCGTCCACTTGGAGAAGACCCTGGGCATGGAACTTACTGATCGACATACAAGAGCGTGAGGATGATGGGGGACCCTTCCAGCAAGGGAAGGAAGGAGGCCAGGGGGCCACAACACCCGCAGCAGACACTCAGGTACAATGGATGCCCCACACAGCAGAGGAAGAGAGGAGGCCAGGGAGATACACACGCCCACTATGAACATGCCCATACAATAGATACACGTGCCAGAGACACACTCATATCACAGGCACGCACAAATCATAGCATGACTGAGCCACACCCATGCCTATGCCACGGACGCATCTGAGCCCTGAACAGGCACATGCCACACGCCCACCACAAGCCTTACGTCTCTCTTGAAGGACTTGCGGACATGCCCGTGGGCAGCCCTCTGGACCACGGCGTACTGGCGCACGCAGTATATGTCCTCCAGGGGCCTGAGGATGCTGGTGATCACCTCCGTGAGTCTGTCCTGGGGGATAGTGTCATAGGCCCCCACCACATCCATCTGCGTGAGCAGGAGAGGACCGCTGAGCTGTGTCTGCCCCCAGCAGTCACCTCCGTCCTAGAGCCTGGGCCCCCACAGCCCTCCTAAGGCCTGTGGATCTGACACAGG